GCGCCTCTTGCCCTGTTCACAGTCCCTCTGCCGGCTTGAAGCCCTTCCGGCCGTACGTCCTTGGCGCCAGGTCGGCCCGGCGGAGGGGAGGCATGGGCAGAGGGTAGGCTGGAGGGAGGTTACCTTCCCTGTTTCACTCCCAGCCCCCCGACGCGAGAGGAAGCAGCGGCAAGGTCCGCGGGCGGCATGGCAGGAGCTCCAGACGAGCGCGGGCCGGGCCCTGCGGCGAGGGAGCAGCTGCAGCAGCAACACGTCGGGTGCCGAGTCTTCCCCGAGCGGCCGGCTCAGGGGACGCCCCAGCAAGGGTTCCTCTCCAGTTTCTTCACCAGTAACCAAAAGTGTCAGCTTATGCTCCTGAAGACGCTGGAGACAAGTAGGAGCCGTGACCGGGAGGCGGGGCGTCTGGGGAGGTGGTGTCTGAGACCGGGTGGGCAGGGAGGGGCCTGGGCGCCCCTCGGCCAAGGGCTCTGGGTTCGGCCCCAGGGGTGGCGGGGGCTGAGTTCGGGCCCCTCGGCGCAGAGTCTAGGCAGATTGGGCACGTGAGGGCGGGAATGGGGGTCTGGGCCTCAGTTTCCCTTACAGAAGAGTTGCAGAGGGCCCTTTCAGCACTACACTTGTTTGTGGAATGAACGAGGAGTCGGGCTAGGAGTTTGCCCTTTCCTCTCACACTCATTGGTCTGACAGATCCTCTGATTTCTTAGGTAAATTATGCAGCAGTGTGGGGACTTCAGAGTGCAGGTGAAGCAGAGTTTTAGAGAGCCACGTTCATTGAGGCATACTGACTGCCGGCAGTGCAAAAGCAACAGTTTTACAATTGTGGCCTTCTTGGAAAGAGTTCTTAACCTTCACACATGGATGGACTTCAGGGTGTAGAAACTCCGACGTGGACTACAAAACCGTGTGTGTATGCTCCTGTATGCATTTTTCTGGGGAGAGAGTCCATAGCTCCATAATACTCTCAAGGAGGCCCGCGACCCCCCAAAGGTTAAGAACCACTGCTGTGGGTTAAATAGGAATACCACCTGCTGACCAACTTCTCTCCAGTCCCAGGGACGTTGTCCCAGAGATTCCTTAACACTCTTACGTTGCCATAGACGTCCTAAGTTTACTTTCGATACATTTAGAAAATCAAAGACTTAAACTTATTTGTCCCAAAGCAGCGTTATTATTTCATAGCTGGGGCCAGTCGCAATTCAAAAATCAACCACCCAAAGATTTTCCAGCCTTGCTGCGACTCTGTGCATCTAGGGAATCAAGGGAGGTGGGAGGAGGAAAGGAAATAGCGGAATGGTGACATTGTATTTACTTTGGAAGGATGTATTGAACGCCTCCTAGGTTCTGGTATGGGAGAATACAGAGATGAGTTAGGACTCTGCCTTTAAGATGTTTCAAAGTGGAATGCAGTGGAAAACATGGGCTGCAGAATTAGACATGGGTTCAAATTCTGGTCCCTTTCCTTGTTAGGTTTGGAAGAGTGATTTAACTCCATGATCTCCTCTATCCTCATCTGCAAAACAAACAAAAAACAAAACAAAAAAAGGGAGGAGGGAGGCTAAAAATATCTCTTTAAGCCTTGTCATGAGGAATAGAATTTACAAGTGTAAAGTGCCAGCATATCAGGAGCTGCGTAAAGAAAGGGTAGCTGTTCTTACAGCGGAGGAGCAGCAAAGTGGAGGAAGAGCTGAGACAGGATGTGAGGAGGGTGAGGGGCTAAACTTGAGCATCAGGAGGAATTAACCCACCTTATCCTCTCAAGAGGAGGGATGCTGGGAGAACCTGTTGGTATTAAAGCATCAACCTGCAGCTTTAAAATCCTATCCCTGGGGCGGGTATGGTGGGAGAACCCAGGCCTCATGGGAGATCTTTGTTTTCTTTTTCTCAAAATCAAATCAGTTCTAAATACTGCAGGTCCTTTTTGAAGTACCAAACGACTGTGCTTCCTGAGGAAAAAAAAAATTTTTTAAGTGGGGGAACTGTAGACTTTTGGAGCCACTTCAACTTTGTAAAACTTTGTTGCTTGAATAATAATGTACTTGATATGGTGCCTAACACCCGATATACACTAAAAATACTTACCACTACTACCTGTTTTACTATTAACACTATCATTTAAGAGGGGGCAGACTAGTAAAGCAGTAACTATGCCTGGCTTTCTCATCCCGCACTGCCTTTTCCTCGTCTGTTGTTGCTTTTCAGCACTTTAAAAAAGCGAACAAACTTGGTTTCTTTCTTTTCCTATTTTTTCCCTTGTGTCATTTAAGTTGCTGTGCATTTGTACTCTCAGACAAGACTTCTGTATGAAAGTTGGTACTAGAGACATTTGGGTTTGTCGTAGTTTGCTGTAATTGTCCCAGGCTCATAGGCTCTTAGAAATGGAGGACCCTCGGGAGTTGTCCAGGCCTTTCCACCCCCACCACTGACCAGAGTGTTTGCACACCTCTGCTGGAACAGGTGTTCTGTTCTCTGAGGCTCTTTGGGGCTACCTGGCTGTTGTACCGACAGCTTTAATTGTTGGAAAAATCCTTTCTCACGCTGAGTTGAAATCTGCCCCATGTAACTTCTACCCTTTGGTCCTTGTTCTGTCCTCTGAAGAAATGCTGACTGACTCTGTTCCCCTAAGGCGCCCTTTCAAATACTTAAAGCTACCATTCCTAGTTCTTTCTCTTTTCCAAATCCACAAATCCCTTTCTTGCTTCCAGTATAGTCCTGTGCTCTTCCAGTCACTTTCCCCCCGGGAAGAGCTGCAGTTGGCAGGTCCTGTTTAGAGTGTGGTACTGTACTCAGAATGGGACGCTGCATATGGACCAGGACAGACAACCTGGATTCTATGCTGCTGCTTATTTCTGTGGCTGTGGCCCAGATTCCCTTAGTCTTTTGGTGTATACTTTAATACATTGTGTTTGATCATTTAACTGGAAGGTATATTTGATATTATCTAAGATGTTCGGTGGTACCCATCTTGGTATTTGTATTAGTGTCTCATTTCATTAAAGACTTGCTTTTATGTTAATTTAAGTTTGTCTTTTTACATTCATTTTTGTCAATTTTAAGATAGTATTACTTCACTAAGATTTGTGAGATACATTTTGG